CGAGGGTATACACGACTGTTATCCTCGAGGGTATACACCATTGTTATCCTCGAGGGTATACACGACTGTCCTCGAGGGTATACACGACTATCCTCGAGGGTATACACGACTGTTATCCTCGAGGGTATACACCATTGTTATCCTCGAGGGTATACACGACTGTCCTCGAGGGTATACACGACTGTTATCCTCAAGGGTATACACCATTGTTATTCTCGAGGGTATACACGACTATCCTCGAGGGTATACACGACTATCCTCGAGGGCATACACGACTGTTATCCTCGAGGGTATACACGACTATTATCCTCAAGGGCATACACGACTGTTATCCTCGAGGGTATACACGACTATCCTCGAGGGTATACACGACTGTTATCCTCGAGGGTATACACGACTATCCTCGAGGGTATACACGACTATCCTCGAGGGCATACACGACTGTCCTCGAGGGTATACACGACTGTCCTCGAGGGTATACACGACTATTATCCTCAAGGGCATACACGACTGTTATCCTCGAGGGTATACACGACTATCCTCGAGGGTATACACCACTGTTATCCTCGAGAGTATACACCACTGTTATCCTCGAGAGTATACACCACTGTTATCCTCGAGGGTATACACCACTGTTATCCTCGAGGGTATACACTACTATCCTCGAGGGTATACACGACTGTCCTCGAGGGTATACACCACTGTTATCCTCGAGGGTATACACGACTGTTATTCTCGAGGGTATACACCACTTATCCTCGAGGGTATACACGACTGTTATCCTCGAGGGTATACACGACTGTTATCCTCGAGGGTATACACGACTGTCCTCGAGGGTATACACGACTGTTATCCTCGAGGGTATACACGACTGTTATTCTCGAGGGTATGCACCACTGTTATCCTCGAGGGTATACACCACTGTTATCGTCGAGGGTATACACCACTGTTATCCTCGAGGGTATACACGACTGTCCTCGAGGGTATACACGACTGTTATCCTCGAGGGTATACACCAGTTATCCTCGAGGGTATACACTACTGTCCTCGAGGGTATACACGACTGTCCTCGAGGGTATACACGACTGTTATTCTCGAGGGTATACACCACTGTTATCCTCGAGGGTATGCACCACTGTTATCCTCGAGGGTATACGACTGTCCTCGAGGGTATACACGACTGTTATCCTCGAGGGTATACACGACTGTTATCCTCGAGGGTATACACGACTGTCCTCGAGGGTATACACCACTGTTATCCTCGAGGGTATACACGACTGTTATCCTCGAGGGTATACACGACTGTTATCCTCGAGGGTATACACGACTGTTATCCTCGAGGGTATACACGACTGTTATCCTCGAGGGTATACACGACTATCCTAGAGGGTATACACGACTGTTATCCTCGAGGGTATACACGACTGTTATCCTCGAGGGTATACACGACTGTCCTCGAGGGTATACACGACTGTTCTCGAGGGTATACACGACTGTCCTCGTGGGTATACACCACTGTTATCCTCGAGGGTATACACGACTGTTATCCTCGAGGGTATACACCACTGTTATCCTCGAGGGTATACACGACTATCCTCGAGGGTATACACGACTGTCCTCGAGGGTATACACCACTGTTATCCTCGAGGGTATACACCACTGTTATCCTCGAGGGTATACTCCACTGTTATCCTATAGGGTATACACGACTGTTATCCTATAGGGTATACACGACTGTTATCCTATAGGGTATACACGACTGTTATCCTCGAGGGTATACACGACTGTTATTCTCGAGGGTATACACGACTGTTATCCTCGAGGGTATATACCACTGTTATCCTCGAGGGTATACACCACTGTTATCCTCGAGGGTATACACCACTGTGATCCTCGAGGGTATACACCACTGTTATCCTCGAGGGTATACTCCACTGTTATCCTCGAGGGTATACACGACTGTCCTCGAGGGTATACACGACTGTTATCCTATAGGGTATACACGACTGTTATCCTATAGGGTATACACGACTGTTATCCTATAGGGTATACACGACTGTTATCCTATAGGGTATACACGACTGTTATCCTATAGGGTATACACGACTGTTATCCTATAGGGTATACACGACTGTTATCCTATAGGGTATACACGACTGTTATCCTATAGGGTATACACGACTGTTATCGTATAGGGTATACACCACTGTTATCCTATAGGGTATACACCACTGTTATCCTATAGGGTATACACGACTGTTATCCTATAGGGTATACACGACTGTTATCCTATAGGGTATACACGACTGTTATCCTATAGGGTATACACCACTGTTATCCTATAGGGTATACACGACTGTTATCCTATAGGGTATACACGACTGTTATCCTATAGGGTATACACCACTGTTATCCTATAGGGTATACACCACTGTTATCCTATAGGGTATACACAACTGTTATCCTATAGGGTATACACGACTGTTATCCTATAGGGTATACACGACTTTTATCCTATAGGGTATACACCACTGCTATCCTATAGGGTATACATCACTGTTATCCTATAGGGTATACATCACTGTTATCCTATAGGGTATACATCACTGTTATCCTATAGGGTATACACCACTGTTATCCTATAGGGTATACACGACTGTTATCCTATAGGGTATACACCAGTTATCCTATAGGGTATACACGACTGTTATCCTATAGGGTATACACCACTGTTATCCTATAAGGTATACACGACTGTTATCCTATAGGGTATACACCACTGTTATCCTATAGGGTATACACGACTGTTATCCTATAGGGTATACACCACTGTTATCCTATAGGGTATACACCACTGTTATCCTATAGGGTATACACCACTGTTATCCTATAGGGTATACACGAGTGTTATCCTATAGAGTATACACCACTGTTATCCTATAGGGTATACACGACTGTTATCCTATAGGGTATACACGACTGTTATCCTATAGGGTATACACCACTGTTATCCTATAGGGTATACACCACTGTTATCCTATAGGGTATACACGACTGTTATCCTATAGGGTATACACCACTGTTATCCTATAGGGTATACATCACTGTTATCCTATAGGGTATACATCACTGTTATCCTATAGGGTATACATCACTGTTATCCTATAGGGTATACACCACTGTTATTCTATAGGGTATACACGACTGTTATCCTATAGGGTATACACCAGTTATCCTATAGGGTATACACGACTGTTATCCTATAGGGTATACACCACTGTTATCCTATAAGGTATACACGACTGTTATCCTATAGGGTATACACGACTGTTATCCTATAGGGTATACACCACTGTTATCCTATAGGGTATACACGACTGTTATCCTATAGGGTATACACCACTGTTATCCTATAGGGTATACACGACTGTTATCCTATAGGGTATACACCACTGTTATCCTATAGGGTATACACGACTGTTATCCTATAGGGTATACACGACTGTTATCCTATAGGGTATACACGACTGTTATCCTATAGGGTATACACCACTGTTATCCTATAGGGTATACACCACTGTTATCCTATAGGGTATACACCACTGTTATCCTATAGGGTATACACGACTGTTATCCTATAGGGTATACACCACTGTTATCCTATAGGGTATACACGACTGTTATCCTATAGGGTATACACTACTGTTATCCTATAGGGTATACACGACTGTTATCCTATAGGGTATACACGACTGTTATCCTATAGGGTGTACACGACTGTTATCCTATAGGGTATACACCACTGTTATCCTATAGGGCAGTGGTTCCCAAACTTTTTCAGCTTGTTACCCAATTTAACATGCCACATAAAGCATGTTACCCCTTTCACAAAATGTTGTTATTATTGATATATATGGCTAAATTAAAACACTTGAGATATTTTCTTTTATTTATTGTATTTGAACATTGTGCATCTCTAATGACTATTACCAAAGATGTCAAGAACATCAGTGGGATGGATGGAGTTGCATACTTGAAGCTAGTTTAGGAATTCTTGGCTTCATACCAGCTTATGTCTACCTCGGCTGATGCTCACAGATAAACTGACAGTGTGAAATAGAGGCAGCCTCAGGAAGTGAGTGACGCGTACTGGACAGGTCGATCTGGGCTACTGAGTGACTTTTGTCCTGAAGCATACTTGTCAAAATACTTTTGGGTTTCCACACACTTAGCTATATATTTCTTCTTTTCTAATACTGTATATTAGTTTTTGATGTTTATTGTTATTTGGTTTAACTTTATTACTTACTTATAATAGGTTTACTTTACAACTTTATATACTAAGACAAAGTTAACAATAATCCTCATACCGGGTACCGCATTGTTTTCTTGATTTTCAGAATTCATAACTTTTTTTCTGTCACCCCTCCATTACCCCCCAAAAATGGTTAAATTACCCCCAGGGGGTAATTTACCCCCAGTTTGGGAACCACTGCTATAGGGTATACACGACTGTTATCCTATAGGGTATACACGACTGTTATCCTATAGGGTATACACTACTGTTATCCTATAGGGTATACACCACTGACATCCTCTCCTGTCACATAATTCACTGTGTAAACTCGTGTTCGTTAAGTTACATAAATGTCTATTCAGCCATATTTTTATAACTAATAAACTACAAATAATAATAGAGTCAACAAAGGTTCGACTTTACTAACTTCGACATTTACTGAGTCTGTCTGACATTTTTGGGTCCACTTTACATGCATGATTTTTTCCCCCCTCTCTCCAAATGTGATCTTTATTCGTTTATCTCAACCTTCTCTGACCTTTATTTAGATCACTTTTACTCAAAGGTCGTATACTTTATTGATTGAGTTTCCCGTACCTTCTGTGTGTGACCCGTAATGGTTTAACACTGAACCTTACGGGGTTTAGCTTTATTCCCCGTGAGTATGTGAGAATAATTACGTGTATTTTTGTCTTGGTGGCAGGGCCGGAGTGTACTGTCGTGGTCATCTTCCAAGAGTCACCCATTATCCTGTCTTCACGATCCTCCACCACTCCTTGACCTTGATGCTCTGCAGGTGAGTATACCTGGAGGGGGTTTCGGGGGTCAGCGCCCCCGCAGCCTGGTTTGTGACCAGGTCTTAGTATAATACATGCACAACAACCACAGGTGAAGCCAAATGACAGCTCTAGGCCTTTCGTGTTGCAATCAACACATCTTCAGGAGTTTGCAGTGTTGCAGAAATGAGTAGGAAGTCGAGGTACACCTCGATTTCCTACTCATTTTTTGCAATATTGCAAGTTCCTGAAGATGTGTTGATTGCAACACGAAAGGCCTAGAGTTGTCATTCGGCTTCACCTGTGGTTGTTGTATATATATATATATATATATATTATATATATTTTATATATATATATATATATATATATATATATATATATTATCATGTATCTCTGCTTGCAACAGATGAGGCAGTTGTAGATATCAGTCCAGATGTACTCCTGTTAACCCTTTCTTGGACCTAGTTCCTAGGCCTTTTGTGTATCCATATGCTCTTGCGCTACCCTCCATAGGATACATATTACACAAATAACCCGCACGTAGAAGGGAGGAGCTTACGACGACGTTTCGGCCTGACTCTGACCATTTACAAAGTCACACTGACGAAAAGGAGAGGAGGGTGTATATATATCCCAGCAGACAGGGACGGGACAAGAAAAGTAATAGTGGAGGCAGGAATAGTATCATTCAGAAGTGACATGAGGCTGTGGCGAGTGTTGTGAGGATGGGAAACAGTGAAGGCGCTAGGATAGTGTGTTGTGAGGATGGGAAACAGTGAAGGCGCTAGGATAGTGTGTTGTGAGGATGGGAAACAGTGAAGGCGCTAGGATAGTGTGTTGTGAGGATGGGAAACAGTGAAGGCGCTAGGATAGTGTGTTGTGAGGATGGGAAACAGTGAAGGCGCTAGGATAGTGTGTTGTGAGGATGGGAAACAGTGAAGGCTAGGATAGTGTGTTGTGAGGATGGGAAACAGTGAAGGCGCTAGGATAGTGTGTTGTGAGGATGGGAAACAGTGAAGGCGCTAGGATAGTGTGTTGTGAGGATGGGAAACAGTGAAGGCGCTAGGATAGTGTGTTTGTGAGGATGGGAAACAGTGAAGGCGCTAGGATAGTGTGTTGTGAGGATGGGAAACAGTGAAGGCGCTAGGATAGTGTGTTGTGAGGATGGGAAACAGTGAAGGCGCTAGGATAGTGTGTTGTGAGGATGGGAAACAGTGAAGGCGCTAGGATAGTGTGTTGTGAGGATGGGGAAACAGTGAAGGCGCTAGGATAGTGTGTTGTGAGGATGGGAAACAGTGAAGGCGCTAGGATAGTGTGTTTGTGAGGATGGGAAACAGTGAAGGCGCTAGGATAGTGTGTTGTGAGGATGGGAAACAGTGAAGGCGCTAGGATAGTGTGTTGTGAGGATGGGAAACAGTGAAGGCGCTAGGATAGTGTGTTGTGAGGATGGGAAACAGTGAAGGCGCTAGGATAGTGTGTTGTGAGGATGGGAAACAGTGAAGGCGCTAGGATAGTGTGTTGTGAGGATGGGAAACAGTGAAGGCGCTAGGATAGTGTGTTGTGAGGATGGGAAACAGTGAAGGCGCTAGGATAGTGTGTTGTGAGGATGGGAAACAGTGAAGGCGCTAGGATAGTGTGTTGTGAGGATGGGAAAAGTGAAGGCGCTAGGATAGTGTGTTGTGAGGATGGGAAACAGTGAAGGCGCTAGGATAGTGTGTTGTGAGGATGGGAAACAGTGAAGGCGCTAGGATACTGCCCTGGGGTACTAAACTTTTTACCTTGCTGCTGTTGGATTTAGTTTTGTTTACTGTTAGGCTGTGTGTTCTCTTTGTCAGTGGTGTCAATGTTTATTGTTATTCACTCTGACATTATTAACTATGTGATCGCATTTGTCAAATGCTACCTTCAACCCTGCCACCACTACCTTCAACCCTGACACCACTACCTTCAACCCTGACACCACTACCTTCAACCCTGACACCACTACCTTCAACCCTGACACCACTACCTTCAACCCTGACACCACTACCTTCAACCCTGACACCACTACCTTCAACCCTGACACCACTACCTTCAACCCTGACACCACTACCTTCAACCCTGACACCACTACCTTCAACCCTGACACCACTACCTTCAACCCTGACACCACTACCTTCAGCCATGCCACCACTACCTTCAACCCTGACACCACTACCTTCAACCCTGACACCACTACCTTCAACCCTGACACCCTACCTTCAACCCTGACACCACTACCTTCAACCCTGACACCACTACCCTTCAGCCATGCCACCACTACCTTCAACCCTAACACCACTACCTTCAACCCTGCCACCACTACCTTCAACCCTGCCACCACTACCTTCATCCCTGACACCACTACCTTCAACCCTGCCACCACTACCTTCAACCCTGCCACCACTACCTTCAGCCCTGCCACCACTACCTTCAACCCTGCCACCACTACCTTCAACCCTGCCACCACTACCTTCAGCCCTGCCACCACTACCTTCAGCCTGCCACCACTACCTTCAACCCTGCCACCACTACCTTCAGCCCTGCCACCACTACCTTCAACCCTGCCACCACTACCTTCAGCCCTGCCACCACTACCTTCAACCCTGCCACCACTACCTTCAGCCCTGCCACCACTACCTTCAACCCTGCCACCACTACCTTCAGCCCTGCCACCACTACCTTCAGCCATGCCACCACTACCGTCAACCTGCCACCACTAACTTCAACCCTGCCACCACTACCTTCAGCCATGCCACCACTACCTTCAGCCATGCCACCACTACCTTCAACCCTGCCACTACTACCTTTCAGCCCTGACACCACCACCTTCAACCCTGCCACTACTACCTTCAGCCCTGACACCACCACCTTCAGCCCTGCCACCACTACCTTCATCCCTGCCACCACTACCTTCATCCCTGCCACCACTACTTCAGCCATGCCACACTACCTTCAGCCCTGCCACCACTACCTTCAGCCATGCCACCACTACCTTCAACCCTGCCACCACTACCTTCAGCCATGCCACCACTACCTTCAGCCCTACCACCAGTACCTTTAGCCATGCCACCACTACCTTCAGCCCTGCCACCACTACCTTCAACCCTGCCACCACTACCTTCAGCCCTGCCACCACTACCTTCAACCCTGCCACCACTACCTTCATCCCTGCCACCACTACCTTCAGCCATGCCATCACTATCTTCAACCCGCCACCACTACCTTCAGCCCTGCCACCACTACCTTCAGCATGCCATCACTATCTTCAACCCTGCCACCATCACTCAGCCTTGCCACCACTACCTTCAGCCCTACCAAACCCTTACTTCAGCCATGCCACCCCTACCTTCAGCCATGCCACCACTACCTTCAACCCTGCCCACTACCTTAGCCATGCCACCACTACCTTCAACCCTGCCACCACTACCTTCAGCCTGCCACCACTACCTTCAACCCTGCCACCACTACCTTCAACCCTGCCACCCCTACCTTCAACCATGCCATCACTATCTTCAACCCTGCCACCACTACCTTCAGCCCTGCCACCACTACCTTCAGCCATGCCACCACTACCTTCAACCTGCCACCACTACCTTCAGCCCCACCACAGTACCTTCAGCCTACCAACCAGTACCTTCAGCCATGCCACCACTACCTTCAGCCATGCCACCACTACCTTCAGCCTGCCACCACTACCTTCAACCCTGCCACCACTACCTTCAGCCCTGCCACCACTACCTTCAACCCTGCCACCCCACTACATTCAACCCTGCCACCACTACCTTCATCCCTGCCACCACTACCTTCAGCCATGCCACCACTACATTCAAAACCCCGCCACCACTACCTTCAGCCATGCCACCACTACCTTCAGCCTACCACCAGTACCTTTATCCATGCCACCACTACCTTCAGCCCTGCCACCACTACCTTCAACCCTGCCACCACTACCTTCAGCCCTGCCACCACTACCTTCAACCCTGCCACCACTACATTCAACCCTGCCACCACTACCTTCATCCCTGCCACCACTACCTTCAGCCATGCCATCACTATCTTCAACCCTGCCACCACTACCTTCAGCCCTGCCACCACTACCTTCAGCCATGCCATCACTATCTTCAACCCTGCCACCATCACTCAGCCTTGCCACCACTACCTTCAGCCCTACCACCAGTACCTTCAGCCATGCCACCACTACCTTCAGCCATGCCACCACTACCTTCAACCCTGCCACCACTACCTTAGCCATGCCACCACTACCTTCAACCCTGCCACCACTACCTTCAGCCCTGCCACCACTACCTTCAGCCCTGCCACCACTACCTTCAACCCTGCCACCATTACCTTCAGCCATGTCATCACTATCTTCAAACCCTGCCACCACTACCTTCAGCCCTGCCACCACTACCTTCGCCATGCCACCACTACCTTCAACCCGCCACCACTACCTTCAGCCCTACCACCAGTACCTTCAGCTTTACCACCAGTACCTTCAGCCATGCCACCACTACCTTCAGCCATGCCACCACTGCCTTCAGCCCTGCCACCACTACCTTCAACCCTGCCACCACTACCTTCAGCCCTGCCACCACTACCTTCAACCCTGCCACCACTACATTCAACCCTGCCACCACTACCTTCATCCCTGCACCACTACCCTTTAGCCATGCCACCACTTCCTTCAACCCTGCCACCACTACCTTCAGCCCTGCCACCACTACCTTCAGCCCTACCACCAGTACCTTTATCCATGCCACCACTACCTTCAGCCTGCCACCACTACCTTAACCCTGCCACACTACCTTCAGCCCTGCCACCACTACCTTCAACCCTGCCACCACTAAAATTCAACCCTGCCACCACTACCTTCATCCCTGCCACCACTACCTTCAGCCATGCCATCACTATCTTCAACCCTGCCACCACTACCTTCAGCCCTGCCACCACTACCTTCAGCCATGCCATCACTATCTTCAACCCTGCCACATCACTC